CAGGGAACGTTCTCGCGATTATTATATCAAACTGTGAACCAAGTCAGTCTCAGATTGTGACAGTTACAGAAAACAAACGGCAGCAGGGAACGTTCTCGCGATTATTATATCAAACTGTGAACCAAGTCAGTCTCAGATTGTGACAGTTACAGAAAACGAACAACCTGTGAGCCAAGCCAGATCTCAGACTGCGACAGCTACAGGACACAAACAGCAGCAGGGAACATACTCGTAATTATTATATCAAACTGTGAACCAAGTCAGTCTCAGATTGTGACAGTTACAGAAAACTAACGGCAGCAGGGAACGTTCTCGTGATTACTACAACTGTATAACAACCTGTGAACCAAGTATGTCTTAGATTATGACAGTAGCAGAAAACTAACGGCAGCACGGAACGTTCTCGTGATTATCAAGCAGGCGGTAGCATTGCCTATGTACGGATGGCTGGATTGTTCATCGAAATGGTATTTTAAATATCTCCTCAATAGGTGATCAGAACTTTACAATACTATACAGTGTTTCCTTTTATAACGGTATCTATGTTATAACTAAGCCACAAATTCTGGCAGTGTCTTGAAATATCATGGCAAAAAGTTTGAACTTCTTGTTCTTCTTTCTTCTGCTGTTTTTTTATTACACGATAACCCACAAAACCAAAACAATGGTGTTAACCTATTTCACTGAGATGACAAAGCTCTAAACGGAGTACACGCTTTTATAAGTATTATTAATAACTAGTAGTTATTTTAAAAAATCATAATCCTAATGTAAACGATGTCATCATTACCCATCAAAGTTAGCTGTCGTACATACATTTAGTGTTCCTTTAAAAAGCTCAAGTACAGGGTGAAACAGGAATTACCAGCCAATAATAGATAAACAATAAATATTACAGTTGTATTTTAGAACTTGGTTATAAGTACAACCTTCCTATGTCTATTGAAACACTGCATTTAAAAAAAGTAAAGAAATATACTTTTCAAAAAAGGAGGTAAATGTAGGGATGGCTAATATTAATCCTTCAAAATCAATACAAACAAGAAAGTTTTCGTGATTATTAAAATATAAATACAAAATTGGGAATTTAAAAGCCTGCAAATAAGGATCGTAAAAAAAGTAAGGAAACAAGGCTAGAGATACTACAAATCCATGTTTTGGCTCCATGCTGTTACCTAGAATTACATGTGGTGGAGTCAAAATAGTATCTCCAACTTTGTTTGTTTACTTTTTGGCGATCCCTATTTGCAGGTTTTTAAATTCTCAGTTTTTATTTATCTTGTTTTTATGCTCAACTATGGGCAAAGGATTACTTGTTATGGTAGCTAACTATATATATATTGTAATGATAATAAGCATAACTAGTAGCTAGCTGATACGGTTTATGATGATTTACTGTAGCTATTGACTATTTGATCGCATTACTTCGAGATGTGAAATGTTAACCTGCAGCTGGAAATTGTCGCGGAGATTTGTTTGAGGATATAGTGAGCATTTATAGTTTCTGGGTAACTAAATTCTCTATATATATATAATGTATAGTAATGGGCAAATATATGCCCCGACTAAGACACAATGGCCCAGCATGGCCAGGTAGTTAAGGCACTCGACTCATAATCTGAGGGTCGCGGGTTCGAATCCCCGTCCCACCAAACATGCTCGCCCTTTCAGTCGTGGGGGCGTTATAAAGTGTCGGTCAATCCCACTATTCGTTGGTAAAAGAGTTGGTTGGCGGTGGGTGGTGATGACTAGCTGCCTTCCTTCTAGTCTTACACTGCTAAATTAGGGACGGCTAGTGCAGATATCCCTTGTGTAGCCCTCACAAGCTATCGGGGCCAAACATATGCTCTGATACCTCGGGAGGTTGTCCTATTGTTGTTTTCGGGTGCACAACTCTTCCCCCCTCCCCTTTTGGGGTAGGTATAGAAGCAATTGGGAATATTAGAGGTGTGGCCCGGCATGTCCAGGTGGTTAGGGCGCTCGACTCGCAACCTGTGTGTCGCGGGTTCGAATCCCCGTCCCACCAAACATGCTCGCCCTTTCAGTCGTGGGGGAATTATATTGTGACGCTCAATCCCACTATTTGTTGGTAAAAAAGTAGCACAAGAGTTGGTCGGTGGGTGGTGATGACTAGCTGCCTTCCCTCTAGTCTTACAATGCTAAATTAGGGACGGCTAACGCAGATAGCCCTCGTGTAGCTTTACGCGAAATTCAAAACAAACAATATTAGAGGGGGACTAGATCGGTTCACTGGGGCCTCTGTGAATCGTGATTCGGCCTTTGAGTCTATTAATTTTGAAGAAAACCAAGTAGAATGTAAATAGTTGCGTGTTTTAACCTAGAAATTAGTCTTATACCTTGTATATTCCAGCAAAATTGTCGCCAAAATAATATGTACCTCTATATTTCTCGACTGTTTTGTGTATGGAATAACAAACAAGTGAGGTGGATCTCAATTGGTGATTGATGTCCCTTTGAACAAGGTTACCACTCATTTTAAGCTCCTTCTGTCGAGTCGTACTTGTGAAACTACCACTTATTTTTTCTTGATTTTGCTATGTTTATTAAAACAAATTCCCAGACAGTATACGTACAATATGTACTAAGTAAAAACAATACACTTATACAGTCACCGAATCAAAATGAGACTTATAACTCCAGTTAAAATTCACAAAGCTGTGTGAGATTTAAAACTTTGGGTTAATACCTCAAAGCCTTTACCACGAAGGTAGCCTATCTAAAATAAAAAAAGTAATAATAACATTGCCAAGATCTTGTAAAATTTTGTACTTGCACCAGTAGCCTGCCAAAGATTACCTTTGAGCTTTCATGTCAAAAGTATTCTGTTTTCAAGTCATATCAATGAAAATTTGTGTCTACTTTTTAACCCGTTCTCTACCACATCTCAAGAATTTATACACAGTTTGATGGCTCTGGTTCTTGTTTGTTACATTTTGGGACACGAAAGTTAGGTATTTATGTATTTATCGCGTTAAACATCCGTAAGCGCGTTCTTACATCCGTCATCGTGGTAGTGAAGGGTGGTCCCAAGAAAGTATAGCTCGTATGAGTAATCTAGTTAATTACAAAGAAATCGATAACGTTTTAACGCCAGACGCTACACTGTAAAGATTTGTACGCCCTACTCTTTGCAAGATCGTAATGTCAGAAAGTACTGATAATGACAAAATTAATATAATTTGTATTTTGTATACTAAACCATAAATATACACCATTTATATTTACCTTAGATTTAACTCTTATCTCCTGGAATCTTAGGTTTTCCCTTACGACATATTTTCTGTGATAGAACGGAAATTACTAACACTTATGTCTAGAAATTTTCATATTAGTCGTTACCGAAGTTTTTGGCACATGTAAGAAAATAAAGAATCACTTTGTGAAAATAATCTGATGTTTATCATTAAATTTCATTTAACTATAAAACTAAAACATAATATTCACGTTATGAGCTAAATATAGTGATAGGTATTGGTAGTTTAACAGGAAATTATCTAGAACTTCAAATGAATAATCCAAGCATTTTTTCAGTAGTGATGTTTAACTTTGCATAGTGTCAATAGTATCAATACGAAACGCACGTAGGATGGACAAGCGATAGATGTACGGGATAGGCCAAACAATACTAGGTAGATAACACTAAACTCTAATGATCGTAATCACGTGACCGTCAGGCGCTCTTCCTGTTTTGGAGCATTGTCTGATAATATTTTCTTGTAGGTTTAATCGTGCTATCTCTTAGGAACACTTACACAACATGAAGGTATAGACAGAAACTGCACTAAACAAAAACTACACCTACGCATAGAACATACAATGTAGCAACAACACAAAGGTAAAGTCTACAGTACAACAACATTCAGATGTGGGACCTGCATCACAACAAAAACTACATCATCCACGTGTAATGCTTGAGCAAGGAAGCATATTACGCTAATAGAATAGTAAGTAGGCAAACAACGATTTATAAACATAATGAAATAAGTTATTGACGATGGATCATATTACATGTTTCGACAGTACAGTAATCTGTTTTCTTCAGGTATATATATATCGTAGTTTGCCTACTTATTATTCACATGTAGTACAGGCATTACAACAACAACATACAACACTGTACAACCTGCAGCTAAAGTATCTAACATAACAGCAACTACAACATACAGATATAGATAATGTAACACAAAAACTACAATATCTGTATATCGTACTTGAAATACAACTACTACTTCAACATCCGCGTATAATACCTGCATCACAACTGCATCTTCTTAAAGACATAGTGAATGGAACATAACAACTGCTACAACATCTAGGTACTGTACCTGCAACTGAATATGATAATTTCTTTTTTTAAACTTGTCTATACATGTGTTATATAGAAGCTCGTACTTTTTTACTTGTCTATACGTGTGTGTTAAATAGAAGGTCATACTTTTTACACTTGTCTATACGTGTGTTATATAGAAGGTTATACTTTTTTAACTTGTCTATACGTGTGTTATATAGAAGGTTATATTTTTTTTCCAACGTCAAAGCTGTGCCCTATGCTACAGAAAGTCTGCATAAGGAAAAATAATAATTTGTCGTTTATTAGGCATAAAGATGTACAATGAGATGTCTGTGATGTGCTTATTACTGGGACCTCGTCCCGAATTTTAGCATCACAATCAGTCAAGCTAAATGCGAGAGGATAAAAAATGTATGATTATCATCGAGGAAAGTATCTAACATGACTTTAACAACTCATCCAAGTTGAATTTTAAAAAATTAACTTTTTGACGTAACACATTTTTATTCTATCAAACTTTCACGATTTTGATTTTTTGTTCTTCTCGTCCTGAATATCATGAGGTACGTACCGGCTACAGACATCATTTATATATGCATAAGCTATAGGGAGTTTATTATTTTAGGCTTGTAGTTTATATGACTTCGAATACTATGAGAATTCCACAGAACTGAAAGCAAATATAAGAAATGAAGGTAAAGATTACAGTTGCTATACAAAGACATCAAGATCTGGAACTACAAAGTCGTCCACCCAGAAAGTTTGTTTCTTTTAGCGGAAACCTACATAATGGGCTATCTGCGCTCTGTCCAGCGCGGGGAATCGTGCCTCGGATTTTGGCGTTGTAACTCCGTAAACTCACAGTTGACCCGTAAAGGACTTCACACCCAGAATGACGAAATAGAATCGAAGCGATATCCAGATCTCTCTACGTGGTTTGGATCTACACATACTTCATATCGTTATATTTTCTGTTCATCACAGATATCTTCACGTAACGAACTAAAATAATGATAATCAAGTATAACCTCCTATATAACACACGTATAGACAAGTTTCAAAAGTATGACCTTCTATTTAACACACACGTATAGACAAGTAAAAAAATATAACCTTCTATATAACACACGTATAGGCAAGTTAAAAAATTCCACATAAGAGGTTTTATAACTTGTGAGGAACCAAAATCATGTTAAGAAGCATTACGGCTGTTTATTATCTAATCAAAAACACCTTCAATGTGAAAAAAAGGTGCGGCCATAAAAGGATTGAGTGTGCGGCTTAAAGAAATGAAATCAAAATTGGCGGCCAAACTGGTTGCTACACTTATAGCATTGATAAAAATTTAAAGTATTTATTCATTAGTTAGCCAGGCCGCGTATTTTGTTTTACCCACCATCATGCCCCTGGCCTGGCTAACTAATGAATCAGTCCTTTTTTGGCCACACCTTTTTTTTAACATCTGAGGTGTTTTTTACTAAATGCCATAACTTTTTGTCAATACACGGCAAGTAAGAAAGTGGCACCCTATATTAGCCAACATTAGCTTTAGGGTCGCAACCCTATTATTCAGAACAGACCTATACTTTGCAGAACCAACCAGATTTTTTTAAATACATTGTGGTAGTTTTCATTTCTAAAACTTCCTTTATAGTAACGCCGTGGAATCTAGATTAACATTTTTTTTTTTGTCATCACCCGCATGCACTCGGTACAGCCCGATCAAGCATCATTATTTACGCTAATTGCTTAAGCTAATATTACGTGACGGTAAACAATCTTTAATGAGGAAAATTTCATATAACGTAGCAAATTTGTGCTTAGAATATGGCAGTGAATAATGAATAATAACTGTTCACCCGTATGATTCTTTTCAAAACATGAGCCAGAAACTGCTAATCTAGTTTGCTTGGCCTAACCAATGCTTATGTATCTGCACGTCCTTTCACCCTAGAGTTTTGCTGTTCTAAATCAGCTGTTTTTAATTCGAATGACAAAAAAGTAAAAACCGGCCACATTTATTCTTAGATAAAGGTGTAGTAAAAATTTCAAACTAATAGGTCACGAGACCTTTGCATATGTGGCTAATACTTAGACCAAATTTAACTCCTTACTGGAAGCTATAAAGATCTATCAATGTACCGGTGCGGGCCCGGCATGACCAGATGGTTAGGGAGCTCGACTCTCAATCTGCAGGTCGCGGGTTCGAATCCCCCTCACACCTAACATGCTCGCCCTTTCAGCAGTGGGGGCGTTATAATGTGACGGTCAATCGCACTTTTCGTTGATAAAAGAGTAGCCCAAGAGTTTGTGATGACTAGCTACCTTCACTCTAGTCTTACACTGCTAAATTTGGGACGGCTAACGCAGATAGCCCTCGTTTAGCTTTGCGAGAAACTCAAAACAAACAAACCAAACTTTTAGTGCAAAGAAAAAAAAGGAATAATTCAATCAAAATTGGAGATTTTATATCTCGTTTATTTCTTAATGGATAGCCTTTGAATTTGATATGTTAAGTAATGGTCCAGCAGAGCACATGCACTAAAAATATGTGATAGTTTGGATTACCACAGTCCGAGCTATAGAAAGTGGAAAATCGCCAAACTATCACTCTTGTTAATAAAAGGCTGTGTCCTGCAGGTTGTTTTAGCCGCATGACACACTACCATGTGTCTTGATCATAACTGGCATATAAGCCCAGCAATACCGGGCTAAAGCATAGTGAAAGATATCCATGCTACGCGCGACATTAAACCTTACTTGTGTTTGACGTATCATCTTTTTTGTTATAGACCTCTTCATTCTCCGGTACTGAAAAGGTAAACTTGAAAATGTTACCATATTTGAACAATTCTTCCCATTGCTTATTCGTTTAAACTTGATATCTGGGGGATCCACATGAATTTCTAAGCCAAATATAATGGAAATTGGTTCAGGTAATTCCTCATATTTACTTGTGGCAACAACAGAGAGATAGCCAGCTTCGCTGTAGCTATCTATTTATCCATATAGCTGACTTATCCGTTCAACGCACGGGGATGGGGCTTCCGGGGGACGAATGGGGAAGAGTCGGATCCGAATGTCGACCCCCCCCCCCTGTGTCAAGTTTGATGATCATTGATCCAGCGTTCGTCAGTTATAGCTGGACACAACGCACAAACAGACTTTTACCAAATAATGGTTCAGATAGAGTGGTTCATGTTTGGCCATAAAAGGCACACACCCACATACATTTATTGTTCGTTGCTGTTTCATGCAATAGCATCGTATTGTTGTTCTTTGTCCGAGATTGTTGATGAAGATAAACTCCATGAAGGAATGTTTTTTTCTTTCACTTGTTGTTGGATGTATTTTATTTTTTTACTGTAGTTGTTGTGTAACAAGCTCTAATTTTTAGCTTGCCTGTGCAACTTTGAATGGAATATTGAGTCACGCTCTATGTTTTTCTTTTTCTTTCTTTGTAACGTGTGTACCATCAGCAACTGACAAAGTTAACTTGTCCCGAATAACAAACGTAGAAATCCGACCTCAAAACGCTGCTTCATTACAGTAACGGATATCCGCTTTGTGTGTTTCACCCACCTTCTGTACGGCACTTCTGTTAAAACCACAAGGGTTAGCTCCCTAACGTGATCGTATACATACATGAACCTATGTATTGGTAGAAAAACATTCTAATAACAGTAGTTTGTTATGTGTCTAAAAAAAGGAAAGAATATGCTCAAATCCTACAATTGCCTTTAAATTTTATTGTCATTTTTGCGAACAAAACACAGCTATGTAAACGTGTTTTTCCTTACCTGTTTAGGTACACGAAAAATGTTTTCGATAAACAGTTAATACAAGTTTTTGTGAACGATGTTATAAATCTGCCACACTTAACAACGTTAAAGCCAACATCACTAAAGACGGTATATATCAAGCCCGGCCATGTCTGACAATACGACTACCGGAAATTATACCACACATTGTCAGAGACATGGCCGGGCTTGATATATACCGTCATTAGTGATGTTGGCTTTAACGTTGTTAAACTACTACCGGAAATTATACCAAACTTTCTAGGAAATCTTCGAAGCGAGTTTACATTCTTTAAAATATCTATTAAATAATTTAGTTGTGGTATTTCCTGTCGGATATCCACGTGTGTTCAAAATGACGTAGCTCTGTTGTTAAAAGCTTTCTGTTTTTCTAAGAGTAGGTCTTACGTCATTTGGTGACGCTATACACTATGCAACACAAGTCTTCAGTTTAGAGGTTTTTTATAGTGAACAAAGGCTTTTTCATCTTATCGTATTACTTTCATCACGCCACTGTTCTGTTATATGTATTCACATCATATTTATGTACTAAGAGAATTATCGGTAAAGGGTTTGTGTATACAGCCAGAGTGTTACGTTTATAGTTAGTGAAATGACTGTAGATGTAAACTCTGTTAAAAAAGGGAGAAAAAAGCCGTATTATTCTGACAACATGTTTCCGATTTATCGGATAACACAGCAGACAGTATTCCAGATGGAAGAGGCTAAAGAATGATAGAAATATTGTTTATTTCAGACATAATGGGAAAAGTTATTAGATGTTTTCTTACAGTCCCATTCTTTCTCCTGGATGCAGGAACAGTTACATAAGCATGCGTCAAGTTCTTAGTTGTTTAATTACTCCATTATTAGCTTGCGTCTGTGACTTTAAATCGGAATAAATCAGTGAATTAAAATAAACTTAACTGAATG